TAAAAATCATTTGGCAATGCATTTTTATAGTAAAAATCATTGGCAATGCATTTTTATAGTAAAAATCATTTGCAATGCATTTTTATAATAAAAATCATTTGCAATGCATTTTTATAGTAAAAATCATTGGCAATGCATTTTTATAGTAAAAATCATTGGCAATGCATTTTTATAGTAAAAATCATTGGCAATGCATTTTTATAGTAAAAATCATTGGCAATGCATTTTTATAGTAAAAATCATTGGCAATGCATTTTTATAGTAAAAATCATTTGCAATGCATTTTATAGTAAAAATCATTGCAATGCATTTTTATAGTAACAATCATTTGGCAATGCATTTTTATAATAAAAATCATTGGCAATGCATTTTTATAATAAAAATCATTTGCAATGCATTTTTATAGTAAAAATCATTTGGCAATGCATTTTTATAATAAAAATCATTTGCAATGCATTTTTATAGTAAAAATCATTTGCAATGCATTTTATAGTAAAAATCATTGCAATGCATTTTTATAGTAAAAAATCATTGGCAATGCATTTTTATAGTAAAAATCATTGCCAATGCATTTTTTATAGTAAAAATCATTAGCAATGCATTTTTATAATAAAAAATCATTTGCAATGCATTTTTATAGTAAAAATCATTTGCAATGCATTTTATAGTAAAATCATTGGCAATGCATTTTTATAATAAAAATCATTGGCAATGCATTTTTATAGTAAAATCATTTGCAATGCATTTTATAATAAAAATCATTTGCAATGCATTTTATAGTAAAAATCATTTGCAATGCATTTTTATAGTAAAAATCATTGGCAATGCATTTTATAGTAAAAAATCATTGCAATGCATTTTTATAATAAAAATCATTTGCAATAAAAAATCATTTTATAAATGCATTTTTATAATAAAAATCATTTGCAATGCATTTTATAATAAAAATCATTGGCAATGCATTTTTATAGTAAAAATCATTGGCAATGCATTTTTATAGTAAAAATCATTTGCAATGCATTTTTATAGTAAAAAATCATTGGTAATGCATTTTTTATAGTAAAAATCATTGGCAATGCATTTTTTATATAAAAATCATTTGGCAATGCATTTTATAGTAAAAATCATTTGCAATGCATTTTTATAGTAAAAATCATTTGCAATGCATTTTTATAATAAAAATCATTGGCAATGGATTTTATAATAAAAATCATTTGCAATGCATTTTATAGTAAAAATCATTTGCAATGCATTTTTATAGTAAAAATCATTTAAATGCATTTTTATAAAAAAATCATTGAAATGCATTTTTATAGTAAAAATCATTTGGCAATGCATTTTTAAAGTAAAAATCATTGGCAATGCATTTTTATAAAAAAAATCATTTGCAATGCAATTTTTTATAGTAAAAATCATTTGCAATGCTTTTTTTATAGTAAAAATCTTTTGCAATGCATTTTTATAATAAAAATCATTGGCAATGGATTTTTATATTTGTTGTAACCTACAAAGTGTTACTGAATGAGGAATAACCAAAATGGAGGTTGGAAATGAAATGCTAATCTTTATAAGATTAACAAAATACAATACTCGCCAGCATTGTGAAGTAGGTAAACCGCTGTTAGTGGTGGACTACTTAGACATCATATTACCCCCACTTACAATAGTGTCTAACGTATTTATAAGGATTGGGACATACGAGTTAGTGTTCATAGGTAGGGTGTATAACAAGAACAAAGGCCAATAACTCTGTATAGCCATATATAGATATTTACAGTAATAAAAAATAATGTTGAGGAAAAAAAATATGTTGAGAATATATTTCTTATAGCACCAAATGTTATTTTTGTGAATACTCCTGTTTGAGTTGATACTCTGCATTTGCAGACAGTGTAAATTACATCTTTTGGTCCCTGCATTTGATAGACTTAATAAAGAAAATCTGCTCTCTGGCAGGGTTCAAATCTTTATCTCCCTTTATAAGAGAAACCACCATCTGCATGCTGAATCAGTGTCTTTTCCCACAAAGGGGGACACAGATTTGAACCCTGCAAGAGAGAACATTTTCTTTATTAAGTTTCTTAAATGTGCAGGCCTGTACACATAATTTGAACAGTCTCCAAAAACAGGGTGTCTACTCAAAGATGGGTATCCATAAAAATAATGTTTCAAGTAGTAGGAGTAGTAGGATTTCTTAGATACATAAAATATGAATATAAAATATTGCAAATTGAGTACAAGGGTTAATAAAATAGTGCTGATTGAAAACTGACCGTTGCATAATTTATATATAAACTCCACATAAAATTTGTCACAACTACATTTAAAACAATAAAAAACTTAATCAATACAAAACAAAACAACAAGTCAAAACTTGTTACTGATGAGGGGAAAAATGTATATTTTTATTATTATAAATTATGTGTATATATATATATATATATATATATATATATATATATATATATATATATATATATGTGTGTGTACACACACACACACACACACACACACAACACACACATACACAGGGTTCATAAAGTTGACAAAATTTAAAAAAAATTTATAACTTTATTTGTATTTGCAATAGAAATAATCTGTAAAAAAATGTTAGAAAGTTTAATGTACCTAGTTTTTAAGTATAGCTAAAATAACTAATGTGATTTCAGGCATTATTGTAAATCAGTTGGCAAATGTTTTCCGTGAACTGCAAAAATCATATTGCCTTTGTATTGCTAATGATGGAGGGGACATGTGGAAACTTAAATAAAATTTTTAAAAATATAGATTTACTTTTTTTCTAATCCTTTTACAAATTATTTCTATTGCAAATTCAAAGTCATAAATTTTTTTGAAGTGCACACGAACTTTATGGACACCCTGTGTGTGTGTGTGTATATATATATATATATTACACATATCAGGTAAGATCAGGAATCACACCTTGGTTTCAAATGAATTAATCCTAAATACCTACGGATTTTCAATTTGTGAGCAGTTTCTAAAGAACAGTAAGTGTGCAGCTGAATTCAGTGTTGACTGGTTTACTGTTTTGTCCCAGTTACACTCTTTATTTAATCTAAAAATACGAAAGTCACTGTATATCAAGTCTCACAAATCGTCTCTCTGCAAACAGCATGATTGTTTGCTGGGTCTTGCTATCATTAGTCTCTAGCACACCCCCAAACCTTATTTTTTTTCCTCCCATCAATCATTCATTAATTAGATTTATTGTAAAGGTTGATCCAATAACTTGGACAGATTTTAAATGTGAATTAAGTTTAAAAATCAGTCCAAGTTATTGGAACACTCTATATTTAACTCTTTTAAGAATCTCAATTAAAAACTTTGAAGAACGAAAGCAAAACTGGTTAGTTTTCCTCTTTCACTAATTTTTATTTTAACCTTCTGTTTTTAATTATGCCAAATAATATTCTGCTTAACATTATCACAACGATATAATATATATATATATATATATATATATATATATATATATATATATATATATATATATATATATTTTTTAAAAATATGATTCCTTTGCTGGCATAATAAGAGTTCTCATGTTTTAAAATCGAGAGCTGAAAACCTCAATATAATTATTAAAATTAGATTGAGTTAAAGTATCAAGCCTTGTTTCATCCTCAAGCAAAAATTTATAAAAAATAAAAAATAATTATAATTTAAGCTTAATTTAATTTTATAAATAAAAACAAAAATACTAAAGAACTCCGGATTTTTTACCTAACGTGTTCTTCCCTATTTTTCTACATATCTGCACACACACACACACACACATATATATATTTAAATTACAATTCTCAGTAAAATCGACCTTGCTAACTGAAACTCTCCTCTGTGGCTCAATCGGCTATTTGATGGTTCCGTATAGGATACAGGTTCTATATATATACTGTAATAAAAAGAAAGAACAGTAAGATACATAATCCAGTGTTCTTAATTGATATTTTTATTTTTACAAAACAGTGCTCAGTGTAAATAATATATACCCAAGTAAGGGATTGGTGTATACGGAATAAATTCTAATAACCAAAAATTACTATTCTTAAAAGAGTGCTCAATACAGAGTAGAGCAAATATAATTGATTCAAAAATTATAACATAAATATGTTATAAAATCACTACAAAAATAGTCATTTTGCTTCAACACTTCTGATGTTTTATCAAGTGATGGTGTTGAATGTCTCATATATATATATATATATATATATATATATATATATATATATATTTTATGAATATAATATATATATATATATTTGAATAAAAGACAGACCACGTTAAGATTCCATGTAATAAGTTATTTCACCATAACCCCTTTAACAGGGTTTTGGATCATCAGACTTTTACTTCCAAAAGCTGAAATGAAAAATGAAAAGAAATTCACACGTTTTTACGGACCTCATCAAGTATACGCAAAGTTAACGAAGTGAGGAAGTGAGGGGGGAGAGGATATGAGTGTGTCATATGTATCATTTTAGTTTCCTATTTTAACCCCAGTGTGTCGGCTGGATGTTGCTCAAATTTAACGATCTCGTCTCTAGATAAAAAAATGGTTAAGGGTGAGCGATAAGGACTACATTAAAGGGCGACGTTACAATAACCCCAATATATATATAGTGTACACTGAGGTCAACACCTAATGACAAAAGTCTGCTTCATACTTAAATGCAATCATCAGGCCATGTGCATTGTGTTTTAGCTTGACTCTTTATATATGTTGGTCAATAGTGAATTATGGGTACGTCTAATGGATATTTGGGTGGATGGTAACAGTTATGTTTTTAATAAGTTAGGAGTTATTGAGTGGAAATAATTTGGGATCCCAATGCAGTTGAGTGGCTGTGCCTAATATCGAGCACTTTGGTCCATAAATATTGCATACCTTGAAACTATATTTTCATTAATCACTTTTTTGTTTACATCATCATGTCCTTAGAGTGACATAACCCACAGGTTAAAAGTTAAAGGTTTACCTTCAATTCAATGCGAAGCCCAGGCCATAGAGCAAATATATCAAGGGCAAAAGTCACGATGGAGAAAGCGTGAAGTGGACTCTGCAGTCTGGAAGCAAGACACACAGCAGCAAAAATGGCAGCATTCAAAGACAAAGGACTGGATACCCTGCAAGGGGAAAAAAAAATAGAAAAATTATTCCAAAGCAATATTTTCTGTTCATCCATTAATAAGGTTTAAATTACTGCAGAAGATTTTTATGGTGTATCAACCCTTTTGCAAAAAATATTTTTAGATTGTAAGAATATTTGGAAGATAATAAAGATTTACTGATACACATACTAATAATTAACCCATAGTTGGGGGTAAAGAGGCAGATTCATACCTTTCCCAACGGTATTTGTATGTAAGTAAATATAACAGACTTGACTGGAATTGGAACTTGGCTCTCAGACTTCCAATTTCAAGCCATTATCCATTACACTACCCACACACCCAAACTTACTGCATCTGGTATTTCTAAGCAGTCACCCATCTAGGTACTAAATAGGGTCAGCATTGCTCAACTTTGGTGATCTTATGAAAACTAGTGTTACTGTGATATGAAAGTTAGCCAGAAGATGTTTGGTCAATGTGAAATATGCAACTACACTGAAATTAAACTATCTAAAAATAATTTTATGGTACCAAAAGAAATTGTACACCGCTGCATTGCTTTTATAATCTAAGCACATGCAAAATTAGTCATTGTCAAGAGAAGTGGGGCTTACAGCCATATCACATCAAAACACTGGTTCCCATACCATCACCAAAGTTAAGATATCTAAAAATATTTTTCTGGTTTTAAATAGCCTTCAAAAGGTTGATAAGTCATAAAAAACAAATCATTTAATCTAGAGAAGCAGACAAAATGAAGGGTTTTGTTCCATATGACCAAAAGGTTATTAAATATAAAAGAAGCCCGAGGAAGACCAGAGGGTACAGTAGTTGAAACCTGGTTAGGAAAGCAACAGCGAAAATGAGGAAATTTGTCAGAAAAAAAATCAATGCAGAAAAGTAAAATAAATAAAAGTCATAGATTTTTGCTCTCTTTGGTATTTTATCACAGCATTTTGATGAATGGATTCGGACATCTTCTTGATTATTTAAAATGAGTCTCTGTCTATATTTCTGAGATGAGGTATTATGTACACTATTTACATTATTCAGACTCTTGTCCACATCTTTATCGCCATATTTATTATGTTTCAGCCGTCGTATGCTCCAGCCTTCTTTAGGTGGTTGGAATGTCGAACTGAACACTTTATATCGCTCACTGGGCTAGACTGTTTTAGTTCTATGTGCCATGTTTAATGGATGTCAGTTATCAGTTATTCCTGTTAATTCCCTCACCAAGTTTCTTCACTGTTTTATTTTATTAAACTCACACTCTTTGGGTCCTGTCACTAGATCTAACTAATGCTTTTATCCACTGTGCCAAGGACACATGGCACAGTGGATAAAGGCGTTGGTTAGATCCAGTAACAGGACCCAAAGAGTGTGAGTTCAATACCTCGTTAAGGCGGTGGAGAACTTTGAGAGGGGAATTAACAGGAGATAACTGACATCCATTAGACATGGCACGTGGACCTAGAACAGTCTACCCCAGTGAGTGAAATAAAGGGTTCAGTTCGACATTACAACCACCTGAAGAAGGCTGGAGCGTACAACGGGCGAAACATTGTGATAAACATGGTGACAAAGATGAGGATAATAGTCCAAATAATGTAAATAATGTTGAAAGGAGTCATTATCAACATTTCACAATTTGTTTGGATTAATATTCTCATATTTACTCATGTTTTGGCCAATACATTCTCCAGCCTTCTGTCTCTTCTGAAATTCCAGGATGAATTATTAGCCCCATTCCATAATTTCTTTGCACTAATATTCTCACACTTATCTGTTTAAATAATCTTTTGGCTGATGTATTCTCCGGCCTTCCTCATTAGACTTTATTTTGAGAAGAGTCATTCAAATCATTCCCTGATTCATTTGGACTAATATCCTCATCACTGTTGCAAAATGTTAATATCATCACACTTACACAGCTGTGTGGGGTCCATAGTCGTGGAACAGCAAGTTGGACAACAACATGACCGTACTCATGCAGTAGATAGTGTCCGTACTGATTGTTTGTGTCAAGGAAACCAAAACCGGACAGAGGATCAAACTGAAGCCCACAAACATGACAGCTGTTTTGACATCATCCAATCCTTTAAGCAGACAAAATAGGTAAGAAATGAATTTCAGTAAAGCATAAAAATTTCATACACAGGCTGATAGACAAGAGATGTAATACAGACTGTTTAAAATAAAAACATGGAGTCTATTTCAAACACGGGTATCCACAAAGGAAAACATTTTAAAGTAATAAAAGAGTCAAATTAAAAATAAATTCATTATATATATATATATATATATTTGTTGTAGCATACCTACGGACAATAATGGGTATGTCCCCATTCACATAAATATAGTAGTAAATACTGTATGTTGGTATGCAGTTGCAGATTCATTGTGGAATTCACTTGACTCACTTCTAGCAGTTGTACTACTTCTTCTACGCGCCGCTGGCGAATCTTATATGTGTTGTTCCTATCCTAAGTATTATCATTCATTACCAATCTTCGTTCGATTATTCTATTCAGTAACCTTCTCTAGATTACTATATATATATATAAGGCTCAAATACTAATATTCCATGGCTACAATTTAGCACATTGAAATCGTAATCATGATCCAAATCATCAGACCTACAAATTCAAATTTTTTATATATATATATATATATACATACACAATCCTATCTTATACATGTGTGTGTGTGTGTGTGTGTATATATATATAGGCCAGTTCAAGAAAGACATTTGGGTAACTAACATACTAAAAAGAGAATGTCTCATATCAGGAATATTTAACATCAGAAAACAGAAGAAAAAGAATTAATTATTTTTAATAATATGTGTAAATCTCAACGCTTTGCCTGATGAAGGTCATGAGACCAGAAACCTGTGTAGCAAAATTATGGAAAATAAAGCATAATATTTTTTAGAAAAAACCACATTACAACCAAAAATGTTTGCGGTTTCTATCTTTTTTTTTAATATATATATATATATATATATATATGCATGTATGTATATGTGTATATATAAATGCAATATGCATGCAGATGTGTGTATACACACAAATATCCCATATTTTTTTTTTAAGTGAAAAGAATGGTAGACTTATAGATATGCAAGATAGATTCTGGAGAGAAAAATTGTTTTGCACAACACATTGAACTGATTTTCTTAGCAGTAGATCTAGCAATGGATGCAATATAGTTTTTCTAATTCATGTCAGCTGAGAACGTTAGCACAAGAAGGCACAATAAGTCACTTCCCTGGAGGTTAGCATCAGCCATGCTGGTGGAAGACAGAGAGTGGTCTCTTAGATGATTAATGGAGAGAAATAACATGTAAGTAATAAAACCTGTTGCATTAATTAAAAAAAAAAGAAAATCGTCACTTTTTGTTTATAATACAAAAACGAGCAGATATGAATGTTTCAGGAGTCTGAGAGGGATTTGTGTTTATGAGGCACTATTTGACTTTGCTTGATCATTGACACACACACACGCACATATATATATATATATACATATATATATATAACAATGGGGAGCTATGATGGTGCATTAGTATGCGAACACATAGACATATATATAAATAATAAATAAACATTTATTATTAATAAAAATATGTATGTATGTATATATATGTGCATATAAATGCATGTGTGTGTGTACACGCACAAATATCCCATATTTTTTCCAAGTGAAGAGAATTATCAGATAGATTCAAATGACATATCTCCTGATGTTTATTATCAAATGAAATTTAATACTCTCTGAGCCCAGTAGATACCAATATGCTACCCAACCCATCCATCTGTTGTATCAATGACATAAATTTGTATCTTACGAGTTCTTTTGTTACTGTTCTCTTCCTGGTCACTTGTTATCATTTCCTTGATAATATATCCAATCAGCGTCAGGATAGAAGAGACGGTGTACAAAATCAGGGGTGACAATTTATGTTCATCCATATAGATGAATACAACCACAAAGATACAGACACTGCAACGACAAAGCAGAAAAATAGAATTAAATTATGAAAATAAGTACAAATATTTTGTGGTTAATGTTTCTTGGACTTGGAGTATTAACCATAAACAACTAAACATTAACAAAATTTCATTCAATTTCAAAACAAATAATCATACTTATTATAAAACCCAGGTTGTGTGTATGTGTGTGTCTGTTCATTTATATATTGGATCGGATTTCCTACATTTTTCAACCGATTTCAACAAAACTTCACAGGACTACATAAAATTACCTTGCGGTGGTTCTGACAGTGCAAAAAAATTGAAAAAACACAATTGTTTTTGCACAAAATCAATTTGAAAACACGATTAACAGGCATCGCTGTCACGAGAATGAAAGGGGGACAACTCATATCGAGTTATACTTATTATAAAACCCAGGTTGTTTGTGTGTGTGTGTGTGTGTGTGTGTGTGTGTGTGTGTTCCTTTATATATGGGATCAGATTTCCTACATTTTTCAACCGATTTCAACAAAACTTCACTTTTTTTTGGCAGGTAGTGTTTCTTATTGTCTTGCACACTTTTTTCTTTATTTTTACATTCACAATGCTTTAAAAATTCCATTTACAAGACAATAGTTTATAATAAAATTCTATTCAATCGATAGACTCATAACGATTGAAAACAATGTTTTTGTTTGAGTTTGGGTTTGACCAATTCATAAAAAAAAAAAAAAAAAAAAAAAAAAACAAATTAAGACATGCGTGTCCGTCAACCTTAAACAATAATCTTTGTCAATTTTATTTTTCAGTCTTTATGATGGTCGATACTTGATCTATCTCTTACTGTTACATCACCGGGCAATGCCGGGCTCTACAGCTAGTCTCCTATAAAAGGTCAAGGTCAAGAACTTTATGTCCAACCATATAATATTAGGTTGACACTATTTACATTATTTGGACTATTATCCTCATCTTTGTCACCATATTTATTACAATGTTTTGGCCATTGTACGCTGTGGCCTTCTTTAGATGGTTGGAATGTTGAACTGAACCCTTTATTTCACTCACTGAGGTAGACTGTTCTAGTTCCACATTCCATTTCTAATGGATGTCAGTTATCAGTTATCTCCTGTTAATTCCCCTCTCCAAGTTCTCCACTGCCTTAACCAGGTATTGAACTCACACTCTTTGGGCCCTGTCACTGGCTCTAACTAATGCCTTTATCCACTGTGCCAAAGATGAGGACAATAGTCCAAATAATGTAAATAGTGTACATGATACCTCATCTCAGAAATATAGACAGATACTGCATATTAGGTGGGTTCAGAAATAATTTTCTCTTTTGTTTATCAATTTTATTCTTCAAAGAAATAAGGTCCAATTACATTTCATTCAGTTGTATCTCCAAAGATTATTTGCAATGACGTCTTGGCACTTACCAGGCAGTTCTTAGCTACTCTTTGAGTAAATTCCTGCAGGTTTGATACAAAGATGTTTTAAACAAACCCTTGAACCTGATTTTAATTAGAGAAAGTTTTCCTTCTGAAAATGTTTTACAGTAATCAAAAAAGGTGATAATTTATTACTGCAATATATATATATATATATATATATATATATATATATATATATGAATATATATAAAATATGTGAAAAAATGTGGAAAAAATCCGAATATGCAATTATGCTGTTTTAATGTTAATTTAACGTCGACATCAGACGTTTCGGTCTAGTAGACCTTCTTCAGGACATAGTTATTATAAAACATAATTAACATTAGACGATATTCAAGTCAACATGAAAAGACGATGGACATAAGAGTAAGACTAATCAAAACAGAATAATTGAAATTTTTAACATCAGCATTCCGTTTCACAATATGATCACATCGGCGTCACGTGGGCGATGTTGTGAAAACGTATTCCTAAAATAGAGTATATTTTAAATGAAAAATGAAAAAGAATTTTATTTTAATCTAAAATTTATAAGTACGTTTGTCGAGCATTAATCTTGCTAGAAAAGGGGAAATATAAAAGAAGCCGGGTCTAGTATTCACCGTGTGTGAGATAGATATTAAGCCTGCCTCATAAATCCGTCTAAGGTTTTTATTTCAGTTATTCTGTTTTGATTAGTCTTACTCTTATGTCCATCATCTTTTCATGTTAATTATGTTTTAATAACTATGATAACTGATTTTCCTAGCAGTAGACCTAGCAATAGATTCAATATAGTTTTTCTAATTCATGTCAGCTGAGAACATAGGTTAGCATCAGCCATACTAGTGGAAGACAGTGGGTCTCTTAGATGATTAATGGAGAAAAATAACATGTAAGTGATAAAACCTGTCACATTTTTTTGTTTATATTAAAATACAAAACTGAGATATGAATGTTTCAGGAGTCTGAGAAGGATTTGTGTTTATGAGGCACTATTTGACTTTGCTTGATCATCGACACACACATATGTATATATATATAGTTGTATATTTAGGCAGCAATCCTTCCTTTATGCATGTTTCATTAAAAACGACAGACAGGGTACTACGGTTAAGTTTTTTATTTAATTTTTCTTGTGTTCAAACAAGAGCTTTCTAGAAGTTGAACTACAAGTGCTGGGAATCATGAATCAAATTACAAAGAACGAACATTATCTATGAGTTCAAATGCCCCTTAAGGAACTGTGTTCCTGATCAAAAATCATAATTACAGCGGTTACAAAACTACATGCTTATCCAGACATCTTACGTTACACCTATCTGATCACAGCTCCATTAGAACCCATTTAAACATACACACAAATTTACCAGACTCCATTAGAAACATACTAATAGAAAACATAAATATATTAACTGCAAACAAAGACTAAAAATAATGGAAGCTTTAATAATAAAAAAGAAAAAACAACTCTTAACAATATTAACTATGAACAAAGCCACAATGTGCTAACCGTATTCAGAAATTAAAAACATCCCTACCACACACTAAGACATACACAGAACGCACACACTCAATTAATCTGAAAAATCAAATCATCCTTGATAATGGCTAAAGGTATAGCCGAAAGCACTCGTAAATATAAAACATTAAAAAACATTTGGACAATTCTTACACACACTTTGTCCAGAAAAGAAAGCTCTTGTTCGAACACAAGAAAAATTAAATAAAAAGCTTAACCGTAGTACCATGTCTGTCATTTTTAATGAAACATATATATATATATATATATATATATATATATATATATATACTTTTTTTATAGATACAAATATTTAAGTAAATGCTTTGTTCATAATAAACAGTATTAACAACATTTACCAGCCTGAATGTCCAAGAAATTTTCATAGAACAGGAATCGAACCTGTATCCTATACAGAACCATCATATAGCCTGATGTGCTTTTACCGATTTCTACACAGAGGAGTGTTTCGGTTAGCAAGGTTGATTTTTACTGTTTTTAAACTACAATTCTCCATTATTTTCTCTTGTACATTCATATCTGTTCGATGTGTATCCAAATGTAAACAAATGACATCACATATTATGAAATGGACAAAGTCTGACAATTATTTTAAGACATTTTTATGTTTATACATTCTTTTTAGAGATACAAATATTTAAGTAAATGTTCTGTTTATAATAAACAGTATTAAACAACATTTACTGAGAATGAATCTCCTCCCATAAAAAGAATGTATAAACATAAAAATGTCTTAAAAATAATTGTCAGATTTTTGTCCATTATATATATATATATATATATATATATATATATATATATATTTATTTTAGAAAATTTATACATAAACATGTTATAAAATCACTACAAAAATATTATTTTGTTTCAACCTCCCAGTGTCTTATCAAGTGATCACTTGATAAGACACCAGAGTGTTGGAAACGAAATGGCTATTTTTGTAGTGATTTTGTAACATGTTTATGTTATAAATTTTCTAAATAAATAATTATATCTGCTCTACTTTGTATTGAGCACTCTTTTAAGAATAGTAATTGTTGGTTATTGAATTCATTCCAGTATACACCAATTATATATATATATATATATATATATATATATATAACAATAGGCAGCTATGAGGGTGCAGTAGTATGTGAACTCATAGACATAAATATAAGTATACATAAACCTTTATTATTAACAAAAAGGATACAGGGATGATGGTCTATTAATTCTAATAAACTGCAATGACAGAAGTACAACAAAAATAATAAAAACCTTCAAAACTCTAGGATTTACAATAGATATAAAATTAAATCAAAAACTAGTAAATATCTTAAATATAAGCTTTAAACTAAACAATGGAACCTACAAGCTGTACAGAAAACCAAACAATCCAATATACATTAACAAAAATTCTAACCAGGTATGGGAGCCTCATCCACATCAGTGGGCCCTCTTCCAGGTAACTGACTAGCTGCATGTATGGCAGTTCCCACTCCAGATCTCCAAATGCATCTGTCATGAGGGTCGAGTGCAGAGAGCTTCCACTCTTTGTGATCACATTCTGTCGTCCCTTCCATGACATCTTGGGCTTCCTGGGCACTTGTTTCCTTTAACCTGAAAGTCGCCAGCCCACTTGATGGCACCACTGGAACACTCCACATGTCCATACCAGCAAAGCCTTCTCTCTCTCCCCTAGAATGAGGTCAAGATCCTCAAGACCAAGCCATGCCAACAACTCACTTGATCATATAGTGGCCACATCCTCTGGCTTGATGTTACAGATCTGTCTGATCATGGTCCCGTTATTACACTGAAAACACTGGAAGCTCGGACTGGTCATGGGCAAGGTCTCACTTGCATGGAACATCACGGTCCAAGCGCAAAGTGCTGTAAACACAGCCGTGGGTCCTCTGTGGGAGGTTGCAAGAAAAGAGGACCGGGAGTTGTTCATTGAACTTCCTCCAGTTTGCTGAACTTTTACATGTATTATGGTTGCAAGGTTGCAGCTACCTGCTGTAGGAAGCATGTCCCTCAGATAGCAGAAGGAGGCCACTACATCCAAATTATCAGGTCCAACCAAGACACTGGTCCACAGTTTGCCATCAATGGGGCACACAGATCCCAAGGTGCACATTCAAAATCTAAATCCTTCACCAGAGGTCTGAGCCCATTGCATTTCTTGTGCACCCAGAACTAGAATGAAACTGTAGTCCAGGTGTGCCTTCCTGTGAGACATGATATGCATGACAACATTCTCATACTAATATACTAAGACAAACACACACACAATATAATAAACACACTTACACATTTAACAGATACATGTATACTGTATAGTCATGGAAATACACACCTAAGAGACATACATTACACACTGATCCAATAGATGCATGTACACACACACACACAGTAGATGCATGTACACACACACCTTCACCTAATAAACATGTATGTGCACACATTACACCTAACAGATGTGTACACACATACACACGCACACAACTAATAGACTTATGTGCACACATACACGCAACTAATAGACTTGTGTGCACACACACACACACAACTAATAGACTTGTGTGCACACACACACACACAACTAATAGACTTGTGTGCACACATACACACACAACTAATACACAGAGACACATACACACATATATATGTAATAGATACATGGATATGCACATACATCTCATCACACAAACACACCCATACTTAGTAAATATGTATCTGCATAAACCTAATCGATACACACTCACACATCTAACAGACACAAATGCACACATCATGAGAAATTGACATTAATCAATAAAAGTTTATGCAAGACCCTTTCTTTTAAAATAGCGTGTCATAAAATTAGCAGTAGTAGAATCAATAAGGAGTTCAGAATCAAGACAAACCTGCACATTTGCTGGGTGACAGTCCCAGATTCACGGGCTGCAGTCCAGTAATCATATGTCCGGACATGAACTGAAAAAATAAAATTTTTTTAATTATCAACTTAACAATCCAGAGCATTTTACATTATTTAGAAAATTCAAATTCAACATTATTTTCTATCATAAGAAAACTAAACTTCAACTAAAGATTGAATATTTATGCCACAACCAGTATTTAGCCACTGACATCTGTATGTTACTTTCATTTTTTAATACAATCTCTTACTTAATTTAATCTCTTATGCCCCCTATAGAAGTAGATAGATTTGCCCATCACCCATCTTTTGAATAAGAGTAGAGGTTTATCCCTTGTTTCCTGTTTTAACTTGGGTTTCCAATCCCATCTCATAAAGTCTTATGATTCTATTTCACTCCCTGTAAACCCGTGTCTTGGTGGCTTTATTGCTTTGCTTGGGATGAAATGATTAAAAGAAAACATTTTAAAATGTGTTTAAAAAATTTAACAATATCTTTGTCTTCAGATATTGTCAAGTTTTATAAATGCTCATCGACTGATGTTTGAAAAAAATTTAAAAAATGGCACTGCTCATGATATGACTAAATTAGAAATTAGCCATTCCTTAAATGCCAGGGTGATGCTCATATGATAATATTTTGAGTCTTAGTTTATCTTTATTCCTTTTCTTTTTTAATCATTTCCCCCAAATAAAAATGAAAAAATATGGCTCCCAAAAGAAGCTGGATATGTGGGTGGGGTAATGAATACCGCCCCAACATGAGAAACTGGAGATCCGAATTTGATTACCAGTTGGCTTCATTAAATTAACTTATGGTCTAATACCATTCGGAAAGGTAATGAAGCCATTCTCCTCCCCCCAGCTAAGGATTAAATAGGATGACTTGTATCAGGAAAATCATTGTTATTTTCAAAAACTTGTTAATGAAATATTCACTTGCAGAAAAAGAATCCAAAATATGTTTAAGCTTTAAATAACCACAAAGGGTTGATAAACCATAAAAATGTCAATCAATCACAAAGGCTGAGAAAGAGAAAACTATATTTATGTGTATATAGATAATTCAAAAGAAGGACAAATGTAAGATCAGCATAACATATCTAGGTGCGTGTGCCATGTGGCTGGGTTGAAATTAAGTAGTCAGCTTCCCAAGGTGTGTCTCCCCAGTGGAAAACAATGCCATGTTGTCACTACATACAGTTTATGTCTCTTCCTTTTATAGTCCTGAACACAAGGACACCTAGCAGGCATCTGAACAGACAAGTTACAGTACCCTACACACAAATCTCTTATTTCAATTTCTTTTTATTTATACATTAAAATTATATCAACACTGTTATCTAAAGTAGCCAAGACTATCATGAAGCTGGTCAAATGTTTTCTTTTCACTGACATAGGATCAATAATAAACTCCATTACCTTTTAAAAGATTTTCTCAGGACAAACTTGTAAAATTAATTTTCAGAGGACCTTGAAATTTCTAATAATAACATGAAATTCACATAATTATTGAATGGATAACTGAAATTCCACTTCATAATTATTGACAAATGCAAATTATCAATAAACTTCAAGGATTCCTCCCTGATTATTACTATCATTTTCTGGTTATGAAAACAAGAAATATTGATTCATTTTTTATGGATTATCAACCCTTTGCAGGTTATTGAAAATCAGAATTTTTTAATTTTTTTTGCTGATAATAATGGTTTAGCAATACAAGTCTTACTAATTAACCCATAGCTGGGGGGTAAAAGAGATAGATTCATACTTTTCTCAAGAGTATTTGCACGTAAGTGAATATAACAACCTCAACAGGAACTGGAACTTGGCTCTCTGATTAACAATTCCATCCTGGGTAAGACGATAAACTACATCCGTGTCCAGGGTAAGACGATAAACTACATCCATGTCCAGGGTAAGACGGTAAACTACATCCATGTCCAGGGTAAGACGGTAAACTATGTCCAACAGCAAGGCCTCTGATCAGGAGACTTTGAGGAGCGTGGAACCACCTCTTAATTGCTGGTGTTCCTAGGTCCACCCCGACCTGGGGTGGTAGCAACTGTTAGAGTCTCAGCTATGGGCAAATAGTTAACCCCAAAACTGAGGTAAAAAGCATTATAAAAGTGTAAAAATGGGTTTTAATACCAGAAATACTTTGTAAAAAATTATTACCAAAAATAAATTTTTGAAGAAAAAAAATATTACCAGCAATACGTCTTTGAAAAAATATTATTACCAGCTATAAGTTTTTGAAAAAAAAATATTACCAGCTGTAAGTTTTTGAAAAAATAATATTACCAGCTATACATTTTTGAGGAAAAAAAATATTAACAGAAATAGATTTTTGATAAAACAAAAATATTACCAGGAAAAAAAAAGTTGTCAGCATTAAATGACCCATTGAGGTTGATATGCCATAAAACAAAACAGATTACCTGTGGCTAAAAGAAGACAGCAAGGAGGTGGCAGCATTATGATATGGGCTGGAATTGTTTACCAAAACATTATTGAACCATTCAAGGTCAATGACGAAATTAAACTGAAGCGTACTAACTATTGCAATTTCATGGACAAGACTTTCTTTGAATGGTACAAATCCCAGACTTTGTTTATATTTTCACCTGCTCCTCCCAATAAATATAATTCCATCAATAAGTACATCATGGCGATCTTTAATTTTTGTGCCAACAAAAAGACAGTGTGTCAAAAGGACAGTTGTTTCCTTGACTCTACTATTATTTTAACAACCTCCACTCCCTCCAAAACGTTTGTTGTTTAAAAAAGCGATGATTAGAATTCAAATAACACCTAAACATATGATGAAAGTGAATTTATATATTTTCTTTGTTCTTTGAGAATTTACAATAAAAATATTAAACACAATTTATTTATTACATTGTTTATTTACAATAATTTTATATTTGCAACATTCTAAAAATGTGAACCAACTAATACAATGCAATGATCATAACAATCAGTACAACACTAAAAAAGTTTAAAAATACATTTTTATAGTAAAATTACCACTGTCTATATTTCTGAGATGAGGTATTATGTACACTATTTACATTATTCAAACTATTGTCCTCATCTTTTTCGCCATATTTATCACAACGTTTCGGCCCTTCATTATCTGTCTATATTTCTGAGATGAGGTATTATGTACACTATTTACATTATTCAAACTATTGTCCTCATCTTTTTCGCCATATTTATCACAACGTTTCAGCCATTCATTATCTGTCTATATTTCTGAGATGAGGTATTATGTACACTATTTACATTATTCGGACTATTGTCCTCATCTTTGTCACCATATTTATTACAATGTTTCAGCTGTTGTACGCTCCAGCCTTCTTCAGGTGGTTGGAATATTGAACTGAACCCTTTATTTTGCTCACTGGGGTATACTGTTCTAGTTCCATGTGCCATGTTTAATGAATGTCAGTTATCAGCCACAATGATGGAGAAAGCATTACCTCAAACCATTGCCAGTGAGACACGCTGCAAGAGCCACTCCGTTTCGTGAGGCTCGTCCCTTTGTAGCGATCATCATCGCCATCACACATACATACAGGTCATACGGCAAGCATTCATTGGCTAATCTCCTCAAAACTAGCTTGCTGATTGGTCAATTCCGACCAATCAAATCGCCTGCATGTGAGGAATAATTTTCCCGCAAACAAGGCCGGAGCCTGTCACATGGGACACAGCCTTATATAAATAAAACACGAATAAGCCTTTCTCATGTTCTCTTCATTCATCTTTTTCCTTGCTGCCAAGATGTAATCTTCAAGAGCTCCCGTCTTAACCGTGCGGTCAGACGTTAAAGATCATTGCCAACAACACTTACTGACTTATTCGCAAGTCGTCAGTAGAGTCCAGCAATTTACGCCTGTCTACACAAATCCACGACTTTACTCACAACGCACACACAGACACAGATTTTTGTATCACATTAACATATTCTTCCTCTCTGTGACTAAGCCAAGTTCATGAACCAGAACTCTCTTACTTTCTCAAAACAACTTCTTAATTGTATTCTATTCTAACACCAGACTCTATTCAACATAGAATCCTGAACATTCTTATTCAAGAGAAATTCTTTTGAACATTCAATCTTAATCATAATACAGTTAAAGGGAAGCAACTTTTTCTCCCTTAATTACGACACACCATTGCATGATTGTTTTGTATGTTATTGTTTCAATATATATTTTATTGTTGATGCACAATTGGAGTCTTGTTGGTTTTTTTCTTGAATCATTAAAAATATAATAGATAAATGCTCTTAGAACACGCAATTACATTTGATAACCTCAACGCATAAACCTAAGCAGCATTTGCACCTTAATCAAGACGCCATTGCACCAATCCTCCAAAAGAACACCATCAAACAAGGGCCAATAACACCAGAAGTCTCCACTGCCACAGTAATTTTCTATACTGATTTTCTATATATTGATTGAAAATAGTTTTCACTTTCTTGGTTAAGAAACAAAATTTTACTCAGTTACACAATGCAGAATGTTTTTTTTTTTTTTTCAGCCATGTTATTAAAAACCTTTTCTAAATTACTTTTGTCATGGTTTATTTTTAACTTCTATTGTTGTAGCTTTTAAAAATAATAAACATTAGTTTTTCACAACCTCCTTGACATCACTAATATTTTAACTACCTTCACTCCTTTGGCAATATTTTTTAACTTATATTATATATATTTTTTATTTTAAAAAGTGATGATTAGAATTTTAATAAAAACCAAACATTAGCAAGTAAATTTATGCATTCTCTTTGTTCTTTGAGAGTTTACAATAAAGATATTGAACGCTATTCATTACATTGTTTATTTTCAATATTAATTTTATATTTATGATGTTCTAAAACTTTGAACCAACTGATACATTGCAATATTCATCAATTTATAAAGAAATAAACATGAAATTTTTTTATTTATTTATTTATAAAAAATATCTGTCAAACATTAAAATTTAAATAAAGAGATGATGACGAGTAACTAATTATAAATTTTTAAAAATATATTTTT